GTGGTTGGTATCCAAAGGAAGGTCTTGTCACAAGGATTACATATGTGAAGTATGAAAGCCCTAGCACCAATCATTCAAAAATTAGGCCAAGGTTGAATTTTTCAAAAGTAGGTCAAACTCCTATGTCAAGGTCAAAGGGTCAAAGTGTTTGGTATTCAAAGGAAGGTGATGTCACAAGGATTACATATGTGAAGTATGAAAGCCTTAGAATCAACCATTCAAAAGTTATGGCCAAGGTTAAAGTTTTTCAAAAGTAGGTCAAACTCCTAGGTCAAGGTCAAAGAGGTTGATATCCAGAGAAAGGCCTTGTCACAAGGAATACACATATGAAGTTTGAAACCCCAAGCACCAACTGTTCAAAAGTTATGGCCAAGGTTAAAGTTTTTCAGAAGTAGGTCAAACTCCAAGGTCAAGGTCAAAGTTTTTGGTATCCAGCGAAATGCCTTATCACAAAGAATATACATGTGAAGTTTAAAACCCCAATCACCAACTGTTCAGAAGTTATGGCCAAGGTTAAAGTCTCATACAATTTTGCAAAAGTGGGTCGAACTCCAAGGTCAAAAGGTCAAATATGATGGTACCCAAAGAAAGGTCTTGTCACAAGGAATACACATGTGAAATATGAAAGTCATAGCTCCAACCAATCAAAAGTTATGGGCAAGGTTAAAGTTGACAACTGACAGACAGACAAACAGATAAACAGACAGACAGGACAAACACAATATACCCCCGGGATCTTTCGATCCGGGGGCATAAAAATTAATGTGCAGGCTAGAGCATTCAAGTCATGCTCATATGGAATATATGTCACTGGATATGTACCTGTAAAAATCAGAAAATACTACTAATATAAGCATGATAACATATACTATATAATTTTTAAGATCACGCATGAATGAAGTTTATTCATGCTCCCAGCAGAGTTTGATACGGTATGCGACTTAGGAGTGGGACGATCCACCGGTGCACCGATGCATCACAGTATTCACTTTGACGATTTACAGATCGATTCATCTAATTTAGTATCACGATACCTGACCGCACTTTTTTTTAATTTCCAAAAATGTCCGGGCTTTAGAATTCGAAATTTTTTGTCCTTTAGTTTGTATTATTAAGACGTTTAAACAAACACAAATAAAGTACAAACGTCTTGCTGATACAGAATTCAAGATATAAGCGTCAAAATGTCGTCAGACACGCCGGATTATATTAAATTAACGAAACCCAATGGCAGTAAGTCGGGTGTCTGGGACACCTTTGGGCTACCTATTTGTTGAATTAGTTTATTTTCATACACTGTTATGTTCCAAATTAAATGTTCTAAAAAAAATTTCTAGTTTTATTTGGTTTTAAATGTATCGTGATATGTATCGTATCGCACCTAAGGTATCGTGATATGTATCGGATCGGCTAAGTTCAGTATCGTCCCAGCCCTAATGCGACTATAGACATATCAAATAAAATCTTGTAAAGAAAACATGATCCGCCGATCAAATTTCATTCTCAGCGCATAGAGAATACAACTGACGTCACAGATATGGAAGTGACGCGGAGACGCCACCTTCTGGAGTAATGGATGTCGTCTTGTTGGACAGTAGTGAGATATGTCGTGTTGCAACTTTACAATTAGTGGTTTTATAGACTGCCAAAACCGCAGGCAGGATTGTGTACGTCTCGATCGCAATCCCTGTTTTACAGCGCTGAATTCGGTGAATCGCATAGGTCTACTAAAGCCTCCACTTGGTTTTATTTTTAAGCTGAAATTTTTGCCGAATAACACTTCTACGGTATTTCAACCGATTAATTTAACGTTCCTGGAGAGGAGTTATGGATTGAATTCCATTTCATGTCTACTTTGGAACAAAACTGCATTCTACGTAAAGGGTTAGCTTTTCTACCGGAAGTAGATCTAGTATTTGTCTTATGAGTTTAAATTACATAAAAAAAGTTAATAAAAATAAAAAATATCACTTAAAAGTCACACACATTGACACAATGCAAAACCAACAAAAGAACAGACGACTCTATAAAATGGATATAAATACAGAATATAAAAGAAACGTTCAGAGTAATAACTTTACTATCATTACTCAATATTCAATATCATTACTCAAGTCTCAATATTACTACATAGAATTTTTTCATGTAACTAAGGAATATAGGGTCCACTATAATTTATCAACAGGTAAAAGGTGATTTCAGGGAAAATAATTATTCCGAGATAAAATAATTCCTTGTTGTATGCAGAAGATGCATTGAGAGTAGAAAAGGCCAGGAAAAGAAAACAAGAGGCCCATGGGCCACATCGCTCACTTAACACTTGGCTAGGAAAAAGGCAAAAATCAGTTCAGCTTTAATGTATTAGTAGTCCCGATCAACCCCTAAAAAGGGACGGGGGGGGGGGGGGGGTATGATTTGAACAAAACTGAATCTACACTAACTAAAGATGCTTACATATTTCTTTGTCTGTGACTTTTTTCCCTACAAGTTTGAACTTTGATAATGGTCCCACTCTACCACCGGGGGTCATGGTTAGAACAAATCTGAATCTAAACTATCTGAGGATGATTCCATATAATAATGACCAGTCAAAGCTTTGCTACTCTTGAGAAGACGATTTTTTAAATTTTTTCTTGCGTATTCCTATGCATAACTTTAATCATCAATTGTGGCCCAACCCTATCCCCGGGGGTCATGATTTTTTTTAAAAATGAATCTACACTACCTTAGGCTACTTCTGAATAGTTAATCACCAATCATGGCTTTGCTGTTCTTGAGATTTTTTTTTTAATATATTCCTATGTAAAACTTTGATCATCGATTGTGGCCCCATCCTACCCCCTGGGGTCATGATTTGAACAAATCTGAATCTACACCACTTGAGGATGCTTCCATATAAATATGATCAATCATTGCTTTGCTGTTCTTGAGTAGAAGATTTTGTTATACACTCCTTTGTAAAACTTTGATCTTCCATTGTGGCCCCACCCTACCCCCGGGGGTCATGATTTGTAGAATTTGAATTTACACTAAAACTCTTTCCCAGCATCACCACCTCACCCTGTATTACCCCCCTTACCATCACCATTATCACAACAAAAGGAACTAACATTAACAGAACCACCAAAGCAGCCTTCTGGAATAAGATCTCCTCACCTGTCTTCACTTGCCTCCCCCAAATTTATTCAGAAAGCACAGCCAAGAGTAGCAGGTAATTCTTTAAAAACATTATTTAGAACTCTTTGTGACATAAAGCAAGTGTTGAAATAATATTTTCATTATTTTCGAAATATGATAACATGTATTATATTGGTCTTCCTAGCAACTGAGATCAAGGTCATATCTATCTTAGAAGAAATAAAAGGACAGGTTTGATTTAACACAAAACTGTTGCAAAACATCCAAACAAAAGTCGACGTCCCTTTCCCAGTGGGAGGAATTGAGCCAGAATTAGATATTGGCATAGATTTTCCTCTGAAAACCCTTGAGGATCTGCACAACTTAGAGGAGAAGTTGGAAAATGTGGACATTGTCAAACCATTGGTAAGTGGCCAATTTATGAATTTATACTTTTACCAGAAGTCTCTGACGAGACTGTAGTTCTACTGGTTTTTAATTATAAGGCTGTTTAAAATTAATTCTACGTTTAACGTCACCCGCGCGCGTAGGTTTAGGAGAAATCCATCTTTGAAAAAAAACAAACAATTCGGATTTTCATCTATCCGTTCTGGTTTGGTTCTACATTTAGCGACTTAATTCTGCATCCCGTAGTGACAGAAAATGTTCTTTGATACTGCAGTTGGTGTCGTATTAAACTGTTAAAAGAAAACTAGTGAATTAAACAGTATGGGATCATAAATGCAAGTAAAACATAGATGAATGTATGATTGAAGTTAATGACAAAGTCTAGTTTGTTGAGTTTTTATCAGTCGTCGTATCACACACTCTCAGTTTGTAATTATGTTGGCTGAACTATTCATTGTATTTGGAGAGAACTGCAAAACTTTTTACTGAGTACAAAGTGTGTCAAAAACAAAGATTTTATAATATACAGTGAGATGCATCATTTAAATTTTATTTAATAGTTTCATCTTAAAATATTTCTGTAAAAAATTAAAGGAACAGTAAGATTATTGATTTCTTCATAGATGTAGCATTCATGTACCTACAAATGGCAACAATTTTAGGCAGAGATAATATTAGTCATTGCCATTTGAGCAGGGAGAAACTTACAGAAGATAGGACCTTTCAAACGAAGGAGAGTAAGGAAACTGATTGGGGTATTCCAAGAAGTGAAGAATCCCGTCGTGTGTGGAATTCAAGGTAAAATAATCTAACAGTTATGGCCCAAATATAGTATTTAAGTAGTATGATTTTGCTAACACTGGACCACCTTGGAGGCGTGGAGTGTGGTGGGTTACGTGTATAGCCATGGGTTACATGTAGGACCAGGTGTGACCAAGATTATTGATATGATGTAATTACATCAACCAAGATTATTGATATGATGTAATTATATAAGTGCTACATTTTTTGGTATTGAAAGGTGTTGTTAATTATGTAATGCATTAATCAGATCTAAAATAACACAAAACCATTAAAAAAAAAAAAAAAAAAAAAAAAAAAAAAAAAAAAAATGGTGATATACCTGATGAAAAAAATTTTCCTTTATTATCTCAAATTTAATAGTCCAAATACATGTAAAATTGTCAACAGAATGGTCAATATGATTACTACTAATATTCTTAAAGTAGTAGAGAAGTTAAAGATGAAACAGATCATTTTATTCCCAAGGAAAAAAAACCTTATGTAGAATATGGGCCTTATTTGAAATGTGGCACTAACTTACCAAGATGATTTTTGTTTCTTTGACTTTTTAAAAACTGAAATAACTCTTAGATTCACTGTAAATTTTAACCACTATATGGATATGGAAAATGGAAAAAAAAAAAAAAAGGAAATTTGCTAGATTAATGCAGCAGTATAAAAAACTCATTAGGCCTAGAAAAAAATATGTTTGTTTCCGCTTTCAGGCTGTAAAAATATAGGGTAGGTAGGTAGGCAAATTTTTTTTTTTTGAAATTTTTTTTTTTTGCTTCTTTAATCAAAACATGTATAGAAGAAATATCAATGACAAAAGAAATGGTGTTTTCAAGCATTTCTGTGACTTAAACTTCTAATAGAAAGGTTAAAAGCTTGCAAAGTTGGAGACTCTAATTGCCTGGGTGAAATCTTGCACTTCCTGGGACAAAAGCATTAAAAAAATTTTAGGGTCAGCATTATAAATTAGGGTCAATCGGGAAAGCAGAAACAAACATATTTTTTTTCTAGGCCTTATATTGAGATATTATCACAAACCACATTACAATGTACCCATTCCACTAGCATCTTACATATCACAGGTAAATAAGTAAATATATTTTCTTTCTAATGAAATTTGAACTTAATTTCACCACTTCACAATAACATGCATTCATTCTTTTATCTTGTGGAATTATTTAACCTGTTAAATTTAAAAGGAAGTCAATATATTGAATTCCAAACATGCACAGATCCAGAATGTTACATGTAACACCTTTGAAGATAATATCATTATGCAAGTTTTGTTTGTTTTTTGTTTTTTCAACTATTTCTCTGAACTTTTAGGATTCATAATATTACAACACTGATAAACATCTTTGACAAGATGCAGAGAAGTTCAAAAACAAATGCATCATATCACTTTGAGATCTAAAAGACACTTTTGTATATAAGTACAAGTAAAGTAATTCCAAATTCATGCTCCAATATGTCAGTTAGCATAGACATAATTGATGATTTTGAAGTCAGAATCACCATAAATGGTAAAGTTTTGATGTATCGGCTTGTTCAGAGAGAAGGACCAAATGTATTTATTGACCTCACAGAGGACACAGACCCAGGAATGAAAATAGAGACATTATTATTAGAAGTCATGGATGGTAAGTGCAAAGAATTTATTGTTCTATATATACATATTTTCTTTATTTTCTTCTTGAACATTTTTCTCATTAATTTGAAACAATTTTGAATAGAAAACCAGAGATGAATGATCAAAATCTTTTGGAAAAAAATCTCAGTCTAAAAAATAAGTATTGTAGAAAATTAAAAATATGAGAAAATATTATCCCATTCTGTTTATATGTAACAGTATAAATACTACAAGTAAAGCTATTCTTTCAACAAACTAAATTCCTAAAGGAAAATTAAAACACACACAAACACACTCAACATAACTCTCACATACTCAAAGTTATCTAAATCTTTCAAAAAAAAAAAAAAAAAAAAAAAAAAAAAAAATCTAAAAACTAAAACATTGCTTCAAGTAATAAGTAGTACATGTAAAACTAAAAAACAAAGAGACAATGTTGTCCAATACTGCTTGTATGCATAACAACTAAACTTTAAAAAATGCACCTGAGATGTAAATTTAAAATAAATAAATAAAAAAAAAAAAATCACTTTTGAGACAATGTTGTCAAAATATTGATATGCATAACAACTAAATCTAAAGCTATGAAGCTATGATTTCATACTACATACTAAGTGCAAGAAAATATAAATGACCAATAAGTACTTAGTGGGGGGAAAAAACAATAATATTTAATAACTAAAGGAAATATAACCTTTTTTTCGAATTCCTCACATAAAAATAAAGTAAAACAAGCAAGAAAATTAAAAATACAGGTTATATTTTACAATTTTGAAACAATTATCCTGATGACAATCACATAACCTTTTTTTCAAATTCCTCACAAAAAAATAAAAATAAAGTAAAACAAGCAAGAAAAATAAAAACACAGGTTATATTTTACAATTTTGAAACAAATTATCCTGATGACAATCACATATTTACACCATAACAGTATTACAACTACATACAGATTTGAATAGAAGGAATGTGAATTTCTTTCTATTTTAAATTTAAAATACACCACCAATGACATTAACATGGTATTCCCTAAACAAAATCTAAAAAAAAAAACAAAACAAAACCAAAAAAAAAAAACAAAAAAAAACAAAAAAACAAAACACACACACACACACACACACACACAAAACAAAACAAAGATATTACAATGTCTATTACCTGCAGAAAGTGAACACAAATAACAAAACAATGGAATGAATATATCAATATATTTCCACACCTGTTCTAAAAATACATTGAAAAGAAAAATAATATTTGTTAAGTCATTGCGTAAGTAATTCACATTGTTTTACTATATAAAAAAAGCATACAATCTACTGAACACAATAAAAACAGTCTGCAGGTTTGAAGTAAAAAAAAAAAAAAAAAAAAAAAAAAAACCACAAAAAAAAGAGCTATTTCATACTACTCAAAACAATTGAGATTGTGACTCTGAGATAAAACACTTGGTTAGAGGTAGTTGAAAATTCATATCACATTAACTTGTCTGATTCTCAGTCTTTCTGACCGTCTCCTGGTAGGAATTCCAATGGGAAAGGAAGGTGGAATGTTCCTTGGATGTCGAACCTGAGTTGAAGTTGTTGGAATAGGAGGGGAAGGTTGAGCAGGTCGATTGTTTGAACATGGCACATGTGTAGTTGTTTGGATAGGAGAGATAGGTTGGACAACTCGAGGATTAGTAGTTGTTTGTGAAGCTGAATCAGTTTGGCTTGGTGGTGGTAATGGTCGTGGTTTGGGAAATGTACAAACAGCAATTGACAGAACTGAAAAGAAGAATTTTTTTTGTTTTTCAAAAGTTGGTCATGTCTATATTTCTTGCATAAATAATTCTCTCTCTTTGATGGCATCTTTTGTATATTTTCCATATTACTCCACCAAAAAAACAAAGCACAAATAAAACTGAAAAATAAAGATAAATGGACATCAGGTGTCTTACAGTAACATTGTCAAATATTGTCAATGAATTTTCATGTGATTTGGTAGTGATCCCATTTCTACATCTGTTGTATGGTGTATGTCATTTCTTTTCCTGTTTATACATTTTCTTATGCAATTAAGACAAAGAAATAAGGAGAGGAGTGAACATTTCACTGCAAAAGAAATAAAAGTGAACAATAATGAAAAAATACTCTGTTCTGAAATGGTTGTGTAGGGAAATTGAAATTTTTTTCTTTTCATAATAAACCATACCTGATAGAATAATGACTGCAATTTGTAATGTACTGATTCTTTCCCAAAAAATTTGAATATGTGGATATGCCTGATCTGTTGTCGAAAAGTCGAATGTCATAGTTGTTCTCTGAAATCAATATATTACACAAGATGAATTAAAGGTTAACAAAATTGCAAATACACTTAAAATGAATATATAATTATTTTATACATCCATGTATTACCATGCAAAAAATAAAAAAAAAATGTACCTTTTCAGAAGGTGATGAAGACGAAGAGGAGGTTGAGGTCAATAAGGATTCTCCTGAAGACTTGGGAGAACCTAGTGCAGATGGTGATGAGGATGACAAATCCTAAAATTATTTGATGAACTTAAAAATGAAAAAGTTCTATAAAATTGGTTTTCCAAACATTTATCACAATTATACATTGTTATCACAATTATACATTGTTAAACTGAATTAAAATCTATGGAAAAAATTATGACTTTTTTTTTTTCCTTTTCTTTGAAATGGTCAGATAACTCTGTTTGTTTACATGTCAAAAAGCGCGCGAAAAAAAATGGCGTACCTCATTACATAACTTGGCTTTTATAAACACTTTCACATGTTCTGGTACGTTGATGTTTCCGCAAGATGCATCACCACTCTGAATTTCCACTATCCGTAATCCAGGAGAATTGAAAATGTTAACGAACCCAGAACTAAACAGTCTTCTGAAAATCAAAGTGTCAAAGTCGACACTTGATCCTACATAATCCCCTGGTCCTTTCCAGTCGCACCCTAAGAGTCCTCCTGATGATGGCGTGCATTGCACTGAATCAATGATAAACATTTTCGATTCACCATGCTCAGTCAATGTCAAAAGCATTAACATCATCAAAAACCACATTGTGATGAATTAAGCTCATGCAGTTATTAGATCCAAACGCAAACTTACAGATACAAACAATAGCACCCTCTTTGTGTTGTAATAATTAATTCGTTCCATGAAACTTCGATATAAGTTTTAGTATGTGTTTTAAGGTTTTTGTTTTTGTTTTTAAATATAATTGTTTAACATCCATCTAAAGATTTTTTTTTATTGCTATTATGATTTTTTTTTTTATTATTATCATTGTTTAACATTCCTCTCAAGAATTTTTATTGCTATCATCAAGATCAGGACTATGAAGTGGAAAATGTGGTGGTGGTATTGGTGGATCTGATAAATAAAAGATCACTTATCAGAAATGAGATCATTCACTTCAATAAATCTCATAGACTATAAAAGAGGGAAAATTTTAATTTCAAATCATTCAGTCTGAAGTTTTTCCATAAAAATCTCTGAATATGGTATCCGAACTTAGAAAATCATACAATGCATCAAATGTATTGGAGAGTGGTTACAGCTTTTTTGGAAGCAGTAAACTTGTTTCCATTAATTTTTACCCGATAACACAGAAATGCTATGTGCATATTAGGAATAGGAGAACGGATAAGACAGTTACTTTGAGTTTAGATGAATTCAAGCTCCTGATGGAACTGAAGGACTCCATTGCAGATATTGGAGAAGAATTGATTGCAGAGGTGGGTGTAGTTTTTGATAACATTAATTATCAAAATAATTACTATTCAATCACTTTCATTTTTCAAAATTCAAAACCTTGCTTTTTAACTTTAAAATTGTTAAACTTCAAAAAATTGTTAAAATAGCTTTTAAAAAAAATTAACTCTTCAGTGCTGTAGATCAATGTTGTATCAATGAAAGAGAGATCTAGTTTTATGTTCATTATGAGCAGATCAATTAAATGCAATATTATTTGTGTTCATCTAGCATGCTAACAGTTCATCAGAAGAAGAGCCTGACGTTCCCTTCTTTCAACCTGATGTTTCACCAAGTAAAGCTCTTAAAACAGATGAGGGAAAGGAAAAATCCGAGCTGCCAAAACCAAAAAGGAAGCCAATGAAGAAAAGAAAAAATCCTTTCATTGACGATGAAGCAATCGAGAGTGATGACTAAGTGTGTGCTTTGTAGACTACTCCTAAAGACCTAAACTGCATCATGTATTTCAAATCTATAGAATATTGAAGTCGAAAAAAATTGAAAAGAAATACGTTTTATGATATTTATTTCTACAGTTATTGTAATTTATATTTTATTAATACACTGATTTATCAATCAAATAAAGACAAATGAACATGAAATTTTTGTTTTCTTTGCTATTGTACAAGTATTTTTTTTCCTCCTTTCAGAAAAATTAAGGTCAAGATCTAGTATATGAAAGGTGCCTACAGATTTATCAAATTTGAGAAATAATTTCCTTTAATAATGCTTTATAACTTTGGCTTGGTCAAATAAAATGTTTCAGGACATAATTTGTAGTAAAACAAGATGAAAAACCACATTTTCAAGGAAAAAATTAAGAAAACCAGTCAGGAATACGAGAGTTGTTTTTTTTTTTGGTTTGTTTGTTTGTTTCTTTGTTTGTTTGTTTTTTTCTTCCATACTTCTGAGATGGGAAATTAAATATCTGAGCTTAACAGAATTTGATTGATTAAATATAGATTGGCCTGAATCATATTTCAGTAAATTGTTGATTTTTGGTAACTAGAGAGAAAAAGAATGTAAATTTAAAAAAAAATGTCATGTACATAAACGTAGATCATTGCATTTTACACAAAACTATTCTATACACAATAAATCGGAATTTGAATTAATGTTTATAATGTAAGATATACAAAATAAAATTTCTGTATTTTTTTTTCAGTTACTTTGTTCATTTTTTGTTTTTTCTTCTTTTGTTCATTCTATTAGTATTTATTTTGTACCATGACCTTAATGTAGGGCGAGGGCTAAAAATAGACTAAGCCTGCTGTTCAACCCTATTCACATTAACATCAGTGAATAAAATATTGTTTAAATTAAAATATACAAATTAAATATTTTACACGTTAGACTACCACAACGTTAAAAAAATATCTCACTGTCAAAAAATGCAAAAATAAAAAACAAAAAACATTGATAGTCAATCACTTTAATAAAATATCATGCTTAAATATATACATAAAATACATGTTACAATATATATTCATATAAATGTTCATATATAACATCTATTTGATGGAATTGGTATATAAGCATTGCCAATGTTTTAAAATTTTACGAAACAATAGTCACATCATCGCTGAAATATCCAAACGCATGAGTTTCAATGTCATTACATAAATATCTCTTGTCATCGAAAGCGCTTATTGCAATCTTATTGATCCTCTCAATTTGTAGCTGATGTTTAGAACTTCTTATTGCATCCATTTCACATCGAACAATTTTGTTTCTAAATAAACAATTTTTATAGTGCTCGAGTGTAAGATCTTTTGAAATAACATTTTTCATAACACCTTTAGCTTTGCATATGTCTACATCTTTTACGCGATAGCTGTACAATTTGGATCGCAATCCTACAAACTCTTGAATGACTTTCCCCCCACATTCGTCTTTAAATTTTCCTAACTTTTTTTTGTGCTTCAAATCAAACAATGCGTGAGTGCTTTGATAATTTGAAAAATCAAACAAATCTTTGTCAACAGATATCTCTTTATAAATGTTTTCAGATTTTATGTCATATAAAAAAGAATCAGTGTCTGTAAAACAGAGTTGAGCTCGATTTCCAAATTTCTGTTTTATGTAGTTGTAATGGAAATTGTACATTACGGTTTTGCTAATATCCAAAACTGCTTGACCAATGTAAAAAGGTCTGTTTAGTAAGAGTTTAACCTTTTCGAATTCAAAAACTACTAAATGTTCATTTAAAATTTCAAACCTTTTGAGACAAGATTTTGCTACAAGTTTCTTTAATTTTTTCTCAGTGTGTACTAATTTTACGTCTACACGATTTCGCAAATTTTCTAATGTTTTTCCAAAAACAGCATTATTCATCAGTTTATAGAAATTTTTTTCCCAATCATTTTTTGCCTGCGCTCTTTTTCTTGTGTTGAGATCAATGTACGGTTTTAAAAATGATTTTTGACTGAATTCGAGAGCCCTATGGATTTTTGTCAGTCTTAAACCAAGAGATATATATTGTTTCAAATTTCTGTAGTGAACAACATAATTTTTCTTGTTATACAATGTAGGAATCAATTTGGAAGTCTTGGTTCTTTTCATTTCAGATGCACAATGGTTTTCCATTTCTTTCCACAAAAAATTACTATGTGGTGAGAGCATTTCATCGCTTACGATCATCCTTTCTGGAGCGAGTGGATAGTCGCTGTGACTTTCATGTAAACTGGCATCGTACTCGAGGTCACACTCTACAATATAGCCTTTGTCACCATCGTCCAATAGACTAGAAACATTTAATAATGACAATTCTGCATCAGTCAACCATCTAAAATCTCCGCAAGGTAAATGATCTGACAAAGCTACTCCATACAAATTATTGCAATCTAAATACAAAAGATAGTTAGATTGTATATTTGGATTGTAATCCTCTCCAAGATGTGGATTGTTCGACTTTGCATAACGCTTTGTCACAGTTGACACTCCACCTCGAATCCCCTCTTCAAAGAAAAGATACTGAGTCGGATCTGTCAATAACTTCAGCTTACATTTCGTATATTTTAATGCACTTTGCCAGCTTAATTGTGGACAACTGAAGAAATGAGCTGGATCGAGTCCATACGTTTTCATCGACATATCTCGAAAATTTTCAAAAACATCAGCCAACAGCAAAACATCTGATTTAAGATAGATATCATGATACTCTCCAAGAGTTGTCATATTAAATGAAGTCCAAACATTTTGGGCATGTGCATATTCTGCATCTGATACATATGTTTTTGACAAAGAGTTGTAAAAAGCAATTTTTGGAGGTAGTTGCTTTTCTTCGAATCTTGCAAAGCTGTTCATGTAGTTGTAGGGATAGACTCCTTTTCGCATCATAAGTTGTGCTTGTGTTGAGTCTTTATACTCATTTTGCAGAAGTCGAAATGGATTTATTCCATCTGAAGCTAAATTTTCCACAAGCTCTTCTAGGGATGCATTTAGAAACTGCAGACTATCTATAAATCGAAGATTTCCTAAACTCAATGACAGATAGCGCTCCATATTGTGAGGAATGCACGAAATGTCTTCCTTTTTCCACATTCCAACTCCATCTATTAACAAATGCATGTCAAAATTCTTTAGATTGTGGAAAATAACAGGAATAAATGTTGGAGGTTTAAAGTTAAGATTGCATGCAATACATGCAGCACCTCTATATTTACCAGAAATATGACAATGATCTCTCACTTTTCCTGTTTCAGGAGAAAATGACCTTTCGCATAAAAAACAATGAGTTTGTTGTTGAAAGTGTTTTTTGTCATTCTCTGTCATTATGATTGGACAAACTTTCTGCAGAATTTCTTTAATTTTCAGCTCTTCTTCGTGAAGACTTTCCAAAAATTGTTGAACTGCATTCGGACCTCTGTAAATGACAGGAGATTTAGTGTAACGTTCGTCAGAACAAACAACTTGATATCCATAGGAACATGCCTCAAATTTGCTGTTGCATGTTATGCTAGATTTTTTAGGATCTGGATAGCAGGTGTCAACATCTTTGGAAAATGCTTCGAAATCAGCATATATGCAAAATGGAATCCGAAGCTGAAATTTATGATCTGTAAATTGCAAAGTGTCATTCACACCTTCAACTGGAAAGGTTGTACTTTGTGGTTGATGATTTGCACAAAATTGTTTATGATTGTCTAAAACTTTTTTGGATAAAAATCCTTGCAAACAATAACGACAGAAAAAATATTTGTGTCCCTTGCATTTTGTGCGATTCAGTAGACGACTTAAACTACGAATTAGCACGTAGTGAGAATCTTCATAACACGTCAACTGTAACAGATCAATTTCTGTCTTAGTGTCTTTCATGGAGGAAATGTACATAGGGAAGAAATGATCTTCTTCTTCGTCATACCCAATAACGTTTATAGACAAATTATTTTGCTTTTCGAACTTAGGAATTTGGTTGACTTTCATCGGGAAATCTATTCCTTGAATGTTTAGTTCATCCTCAAATGGAGTATAATTACTCACTCGTTGAGCATGATTTTCCGCTGGATGAAGAGCAGCCAAAACGCACCATAAAAAACACTTTTCGTCTACATTTTGGATATTTAAAATTGCTTTAGAATTTTTGATTTTTCTTGGCTCTGTAAAATATGTTCGTCCAGGAAGTGGATCATAAGCAACAGTGCTTATTTCAAGATGAATAATTTGTTTCAAACTCCATCCGGAACCGCGTTCATTATATTCTTCAAAATGTTTGTACAAATTTTGAAAACTTTTGTCTATGTCTTCACTTATTGAACGATTGACATCTAACATTTTAAAAGAAGGTGATCGAAAGTGTGGTGTGCTCACTTGAGTTATTCCATCAATGCTCTGTCTCTGCATATCCACCTTCACTACGAGATACCAAACAATTTGTTTCAATTCACGACATCTTTCTTGCAGGTGATTGTTTACATCTGTGTGCACATCTGCCAAAAATGTCAAAAGATCATACTTGTCCCCACCATTAGGAGATATGTAATGCTTTTTCGCTGTGTTGTTCAAAGCAGAAAGTGAATTTGTTGCTCGTTTTGCATGAAAAGTAGCCCTTTGCTTGTGTTTTCTTCTTGTGCGTTTTCCTCCTGCTTGTACCAAAGGTATAGCTGAATCATGTGCATTACTATTTATAGGATTTTGTTCATCATTCGTACTTGCAGACGAAGAAGCACCGCTAGTAATAAGTGTCATATTTTGTTGTTTCTTTCCTGATTTTGATTGTTTATCTTCATTTTGCACTGAATGTGTGGTATTTTGTACGACCTTATGACAATCTAAAAAATGTTGAAATAATTCTCGCATTGAATTCGTATGAAACAAGCAAAATTCACATTGATATTTCCCTCCATCTCTAATGTTACAGCAACATTCATTGTTTGTCTCCATTCTTCCACATCTATCACACATTATTTTCCTGCGTTTTGCTTGATTAGCACAAGAAATCTTTTGATGACGCTTTAGAGCATCTTTTCTTGAAAAAACATTTTTACAGTCCGGACAGGTAAGAGAACCAGAATGTGTTATCATATGTTGTTGAAATTTCGCTCTGTTTTCAATTTGCATGCTACAAACATTGCACCAATTTTGTGACTTTAAAAATTGTTCAGCATCTTCAAAAGTTGTTTCTACTGCAATGGATTTTTCTAAATCTTCTACTATTCGAGCGACCCTTGGATCTGAGTCCGAATATGAGTCTAAATATTTGTCAATATCATCATCGTTGCTGTTCATGTTGAATCTAGTGCCACAGTGTCAGGTTAGTTGCGTCCTTCACATTTATACTCTATCTGATTATATCTTAAAAGTCAACCACTTTCTTTGTCTACGGTTGATTGGTTTTTTTGATAAACTTCGCAAGAATTGATCTGGTGATATTTCCACATAATGATCATTATCGTGTTTGACTGATGAAGGCTCTGTTAAGTTGTCCTTTTGCCGAGGGCTTGGTTCAGTTTTATCTGGTCTTACCTCAGAAGCTTCTTGTTGATTTGGTTCAGTAAATGTGGTGGATTCGTTTTCTTGTAAATCGCCACCTGTCTGATTCACTTTGGAATTTGCTTCAAGTGATTCAAGCTTGTCAATCAGATGTTTGTATTTGCCCACTGGCACCAGAACCATCTCGCGACTCATCTCTAAAATAACCTCGAATGAAAATTTTTAGTAATTCGCCTACTTTAACGATCAGCGCCTTCCTTCGTAAGTTTGATATGTTAGGATTCACTACCTTACGAAGTAATTGTTGATATTCAGAAAGCTTACTAATTTCTTTCTTTGACAAAGGAATATTTCGATGTAAACCATTCAAAATCAATTCCACAACTACTTTTAATTGTTGCATGGTAGCTGCTTTCAAAAGAGCTGTACATTGGTCATTGGATGCAATCATGAAGAACTTCAAAAATAGATGTAGATTTTTTGATAGTTTCATTTTAAAGGAACAAATATTCGAGTATCCTCATCAGGTAATATCTTGGTTCTTAACTGATAACGTTTGTCTGAATAAGGATTGATATCCACCATTAAATATCCGTAAGGTTCACTGGTTGCCTTATTAAATGCATCCATAAAATACGATGATCTACCTAGAAAGATTTGTTTTCCCAAGCACAATATTTGCTGCAAGTCTCGCTGTTGACGAAACAAAATGAAATATTGAGTGTTAAGCGAACATGTCCGACCGACCTTACCTTTTTGAAAAATGTTTTGAACAATATTAATGGTTGTTAAATTGAGATGGTTTCCAGCAAAAAAAAGCTTTTGAATGAAAGAACTTTCACTCGCAAGGTCCATCAAATCATCTAGTATGCAAATAGAATGTTCTGATCCTCTAGTAAGCTCTTCTATACTTTCTTCCGTGGGTAAACCGTGATGAAATTGAATATTCTTAATAGATTTCATCATATCATCGAAGATAGTTTGATAAATGCTATAGCAATACAAAATCCTCATAGGAGGAATGGTAAATACTCCATCTGCATGTTCTAGTAGTTTTCGTACAAAAAATGTTTTTCCGGAATTTATTGGTGCACATACCATCATCGTGGTTTTTGCCTGAATTCTTATTAGCGCTTCACTCTTCCACCAATCCATAATCAGTTGTGAAATAGAAAGAAATTGAAATCAACTAGCATTTTTTATTTATTTATTATTTATGATTGATTATATAATGGTTATTTATAGTATGCATAAATTATTGTAGAAAACAGTAAGGAAAAGTGTTGACTATATAATTATATACATAAAGATCATTGATAGTAGGAGTAGAACTGAAAACAGATAATACATCACACATTGGTATTCCTCTACATCTATGCATTAAAAAATAAATACAGTACTGTCCACAAACATTTGACCCACCACCTTGGTATTGTATATTATTGTATACATAATATGAACAATTTCTGTCAAAAAACTGTTTGATTGGTTTTGAAAAATATGAAGGAGGGTGACCATAACTATCGAAAAATTCTCCTCTACCATTTGCATTCACATAACAGCAAACCCAATGTTGACCTGGTTTGTTATGTGGATCTGTATTGATTATCAACGCCTGGTCTCTGTGCACAAGATGTGGAATGCGATCCATCGGAAACACTCCGACAACACGATTCCGCAATGCTTCGTCGCAGTGTAAAATACACAACAATTCTTCGGAATTCATAATTATAAAACAATATCTCTGGTTTTTGTCAATTCGAAATATCCCATGTTTTCACTATATAAAACAACTGTTATAGGTTCGGGTACACCTGCTGCAAACTGGAGATCTAATCGAACATTTCCTTGTTTCATCAGCGACATACAGTTCATATATTGAAAGGTTGGTTCCAGTTCAAAAGCAAAAATGCAATATCCTCCTGCAACGTCTTCTCTGTTAATGTCTAAATCACAGTCTCGCATCCAACGACCAGTCACTTCATACAATGCTGTAAGTATTGGCAGATCAAGATGATTGGTCGGTGATGAGTAGTTTAGTTTCATTGTGTTTCCGGAGACTGGTATTCCATCCACAGATAAATTAATCTGACTAATATCAAAGGGGAGAAAGTTCCATGGTGATAAGGTATAACTTCCAGCTACACTTTGACTCTTTACTAGGGCTACAAGAATACGGTTTGGTCTTGCATTTTGATATATTTGATCCCAAGTCACGTTGATTTGACCCGTTGGAACAGATAGCATCTTTACCTCAGTTCGCGTATAAGGATAGCAAGCATTTGCTGATTCTAAAATGTGTGCATGAGCGTAAAGTATTGCTGGAGACAGTTGTATTTTACAAATCTTAAGCACCATATCCTCAATTTCAATTACAAAGTCTGCATTTTCTTTCTGTGTCATAAGGTAAAATTCAGGTTTAGATCGAAAAAACTTTACTGTAACCGATGTTTGGTTTAAGAGATATCGATCTGTCTGAAATACATCATGGTAAATTGGTCCCTGTAGCTCAACTATTTTGCTGTCTTTAAAGTATTGTGAACGTGCATATAACCCAAGATTTCGACCTGTGTTAACATCTGCATCATCAAATGCTGATGGTGTGTCTCTTTCCCAAAGAATTGCAGAGAGTTGAGATCGCTTTGCTGCTTGACCAAATCCACATATTATTTGAAACATAGCTCGATATGGATAGTGACCAGTGGATGAAGTTATAATTTTTCCTTGAACATTAACATCAACTTGTTGGAATAAAGCATGCAACAACATGTTGACTGGTCCAACATGATCATCAGGAGATAGGTTCTGTCCATTTCCTTTGCGACATCGAACCTTTAAATAAACTTGACTTCTCTTTAGGTCCAGATACTCCAAACCACTTTGACCAGTTATGTTGAACTCTATTGGACTAGTATTGTTGCTTAGTTGTGATATTGGTCGTATTTCTTGATAGTAAATTTTTTCCACAGCTGTCTGCGTTGGTGGTAAGGTAAACAAATTAAGTTCATTGGGTTGTGTTTCTGTGAAGAGAGCTTTGTTTACATATGACATTTTGCTTATTTTTTTCTTTTAATAATCCAATTCCTTCTAATCGAATATATCTTGAGTTCTCTGTTTCTTCTTACAATTCGTTACTTTCTTACGATTTTTATCACCTTTTTTCCTTGAGTGTGATTTTTTCTTAATACTCTTTTTCACAGATATCTTTTTTCGTTTCACCTTGTTATACTTTCGTGTATTTTGTCTCTCACGCTGAAGTCCTTCTTTCACCTGCTCTGTGTTTTGCTGCACTGGTGAAACGAGATCAACTGAAACTGTTTTTATTTTCTCATTGGTTATGTTATCTGGTCCAATGATACGATCAGAGACTTTCATAGGGGCAGATGATTTGACAACAATAGAACCACCAGTTTGACTATCTCTCTCATTTTGATTACGAATGAGATTCTTATAGTACTTTAACCAATGCTCCATACTAGGAATGTAAATATCCGAAACACTTGTCATATTGAAAATGGATATGCCTTAAAGTGTAATGTCATCGACAGTGGTGTCTTTAAAAATAATGCTGGATTACCCTCTCGATCTCTTATATCTATCTCTAAGGTGGCTATTTCGTTTTTTATAACATCCACATAAAACGGTGAATGAAAAGTTTTTGATTTCTGTCCATTGAAAAATACACGTCTGAGAACACTCTGAATTTCACCATCCACCACTGTCCCCGTACACACATTGCAATGCACATACAAATGATCCTCTTTAATGTATTCGTCAGTTGTATGGGCAAAATCTACCAATGCTACTTTCCAAACACCTTTGAGAATAAGAGGAGTGTGAAAATATGTTTGGAAGCGAAACGGTCTGTTTGTTTTATATAGGTTGAGATTTTGATCACTGTTCAAAATCACATATATACTCATGTTTGTAAAAAAGATTGATTAAGATAAATTTTTTATCTCCGATTCCAACATCCAAGAGTTAAATCGATGATCCCACCCGACAAATTTGACAAAGACTTCTTTTTTTCCTCGTCGCTTTCTCCGATGAATAATTTTTTCAATCAACCACAAACTCTCTTTATCTTTTTCTACATGTTGTAACTCCGGTTCATAAAAATTTCCTTTCACTTTTTCGTTTAAAAAGTCAACTAATTTATACATTGGATGTCCTCTTTGTCTAAAACGGTATGATATTTTGAAAATTTCAGTTGTAAATTGTTCTTCATATCCACGCATGAATGGTTTCTTTAAATGACTAATTCTAACTAAATCACCAACATTCAGTTTAAACTTCTTGACGTGTTTTTTATTTTTTTTAAGATACAAAGCTGCCCATATTTGAGTTTCATTAGAGCTTTTCACATCTTTGGGTGCTATACCATTCAAAGACATATGAGGAGTTGCATTGTACGTCTTCACAAAATGTTGTAAATCATCAATGTATCTATAGGTTCTGTATTTTGTAAAATAACGATACAGCATTGATTTAATTGTTCGAATACATCTTTCAGCATAGTTAGCTTTTGTTTCATTTAGAACTACTTGGTGATAAATATTTTCTTTTTTTAGATATTCATCAACAATTCGGTTTTGAAATTCAGAACCACCATCAGTGCGAAGATGCTTTGGCTTGACTCCTCTTTCAAATATAGACTTCAGAGCTGTTTTCACTCTGCTTCCCGTTTTATTCAAAAGTGGTTCAATGTACAAATATCGACTGAAAACATCTATCACAAAAAGTAAATAGTTTACACCACCATTGTATTTGGACAATGCATCAACCTGTGCTAAATCTGCATCGTACAAATCGTAAAGACCTGTTGTCGCAACAGAGGATCGGTTAAATTTTCTTCTAGCTGTTTTTTGTAGAGAATAATCGTCCTTCGATTTCAGCCATTTCCGAATGGTTGGTAGAGTGATAATTGTTGAACCATTATTTTTTAAGGATTTATATATTTTTGTTGCACTTTGAAAGGCACCAGCTTTTCCTAAATTGTAATATACGTTCCGTAAGTGTTCATCTTCTTCTCTTGAAACCTGTATATAGATAAATGAAAGAAGAATGAAAACATCAAGAACAACATTTTGAAACTATTATTATTTCACAAGTGTTGATGTGCTTACCATGTCTTTTTATCTGTTTCTTTTCATCATCTTCTTTGTTTTTTGTAAAATGAGATCACAATCTTTTACCACTTCTTGCATCCAATCTTCTACTCTTCTTGGATATTGAAAAGTGTAGACTTTTGATGCTATCCACATTTGAACATCTTCTTTAGAAATTTGATTAAAGGCAATATCAAAATACATAGCAATCTGTTCAGAAACAGTTAAAAATAAGCATTCATGTCGCGTCTGACTTGGGTGGTCAACTTGACAACCAACACAATTTCTAGTGGTTTCTTCCAGTATCTTTCTTACAATTAGTTTTGAACATCCATAGTTAAACAGTTTTTGCCAAAACTGTGACTCCATGATCAGTCTTAGTTTTAAAACTTGATGAACTTCTGTTTCGTCCTCCATTCTTTTGGTATGCACTTCTGACGACTTTCTTAATTATTGGTAGAATTTGCTCAAGATATTGCCATTGACGTTTATTCAAAGAAATCCACTGTGTGGTGTTTGTATAAATTAGATATCCAATGTTAAATCTTGTGTTATGTTGGTATGAACACACAATAACTTGATACTTTTCAGGTAATGGAAACGTTACATTGAATAAACACTTAGTCTTTTCAGTTAGAGCAGCAGTTTTTAAAGATTTGAATTCAGTAACGTTCCGGATATCCGTGCAGTGGTTAAAATTTACAGTGATCCCAAGAGTTGTTGCAGTTAAAAACAAAGTCAATGAAACAAAAATCCACTTTGTTAGCTTAGTGTATCGTTTCAAATCAACATCATCTTCTACATTTACTATTTCCTCGAGAACAAAATTATCTCTTTCATCTTTAAGATCTCCGCTTGTTTCATGAATACTATCAGAAATCATATCAACTGACATTTTAGCAATTTTATTTAGACTATGGAGTTAATGTAATGATCAGGTATATCAACATTTTCAATTTCGTCTTATTTTATATCTGATTAATGCATTACATAATTAACAACACCTTTCAAAACCAAAAATGTAGCACTTATATAATTACATCATATCAATAATCTTGGTTGACGTAATTACATCATATCAATAATCTTGGTCACACCTGGTCCTACATGTAACCCATGGCTATACACGTAACCCACCACACTCCACGCCTTCAAGGTGGTCCAGTGTTAGCAAAATCATACTACTTATTTACACTCTCAAAACTAAATGCTAGTAGATCTAGTACTATGAGTAAAAATATAACAGAATTCAATTTCTAGATATTTTCAATTTTAGAGTGTATTACATACTGTCAACAGATATCGATCAACTATTCCTACAAAAAGAAGCGTTTTCCTACAGGATACCATGGACATATGGTAATATAAATCCAAAGGACAAACGAGGCAGGTTACAAGCCACTCTCCTGTACATTCAGTCTACATTGTTTGCTCACAAAAGGATTCAAATCAATATACATACTAAGGAAAAACTCGGCTGAAGAAATTAGACTTAGATGTCATATCCAGTACTCTTATTACTCTGACTCAATGGTGTTTTTTTAACGTACTGAATATGTTAATTTGAATAAATTCAGAAATGATTAAAATTTTTGTTTATTTTTTTCCTCCCTCCCTCGTAGGTTTTGGACTTTAGAGGTGACGTTTAACGTAGAATTAACTTTGAACAGCCTAACAAAGGAAAAGAAAAGTAGCACTTGGACTTTAAACTTTGCAATAGCAATAAATAAAGTAATGATCCTTGGTTTTGTCTCTTTTTGTGGCAAGATTTATTGCAATCAGACTAAAACTGTAGGAAGAGTAACCTTTTAAAAGATTTTAACAGAAATTTTGATTTTAGTAACCATGGCAACATCATTCATCAAAATAGAAAAACTGATAAAGACAATTATGTATCTTAGTGTAGTCTATTTGCATGCCAAGTTACATTGAAATTAAAGAAAAACTTTTGAAGGGGCAGCATTTTGAATGTATTTCACAGAAATTTGTATTTTTAGTAACCATGGCAACACTTCATCAAAATCAAAAACCGATAAACAGAATTTGTATCTCAGTGTAGTCTACTTGTGTGCCAAGTACTTTTGAAATCGGATCAAAACTATAGGAGGACCCTAACAAAAAAAATATTTACTATAGTAATAACTTTGACACTATGAAAATTTTGATTTACTATAGTGATCACTTTGACACTATAGTGATCACTTTGAAAACTTTGATTTACTATAGTGATCACTTTGAAAACTTTGATTTACTAGAGTGATAATTTTGACACTTTGATTTACTATTGTTAACTATAGTTAAGGTAAGTTAACTAAAGTATTTTTTTTGTTAGGGGAGTAGCATTTTAAAGGAATTTCACAGAAATTTCCATTTTTAGTAACCATGGCAACAACTGATGCACTAAGTTTTGTATCTTAGTGTAGTCTACTTGTGTGCCAAGTTATATTGAAATCAGATCAAAACTGTAGAAGTAGGGACTTATCTTAGTGTAGTATACTTGTGTGCCAAGTTGTATTGAAAACAGATTAGAAACTATAAGAGGAGTAGCGTTTTAAAGGAATTTCACGAAAACTTCTATTTTTAGTAACTATGGCAACAACCGATGCACTAAGTTATGTATCTTTGTGTAGTCTACTTGTGCGCCACGTTATATTGAAATCAAAACTGTAGAAGGAGTAGGGTTTTAAGGAATTTCACAGAAATTTCTATTTTTAGTAACCATGGCAACACCATCAAAAAACCGATGCATTTAATTATGTATCATAGTATAGTCTACTAGTGTGCCAAGTAATATTGAAATCAGAATAAAACTGTAGGATGAGTAGCGTTTTGAAAAATTGTTTACTGGCAGACGGACAGACAGACGGACGGACGCCGGACATCTTACTATCGCATAAGCTCTTCTGGTCTCCGACCAGTAGAGCTAAAAACAAAAAATATATA